TGGTTGGGATTTAGAGAGTTTAAAATGGGTTCGTTTTATTTTGGAATCTGTTTAGGACCGGTTTCTTTCTAGAGATGGTCAAAATGGGTCCGGTCTGGCCCAGGATCAGGACCGGTTATGAGCCGGCGGTCTGGGACCGGTTATGGTTTTTTACGAAAACTCAAGGCTCGGCCCGACTCAAGGTCAGTTATGGGACCAGTCATATATAGGCTCGATTTTTTTTTTTTAAAAAAATGAAGTTTTTATGAATGATATATCAAGTTTTTTTAAGATTTCTATAAGGTTGTGTACATCTGGAATCGAACCTTGGACAAATGAGATATTCCACCATATCTCCAAGAACCTTAACCACTACGCTACACCCCTTACGGTTTTGTATGGGGGATCTCTTTTTGGTCCATCGGTTCATATTTCTATGGATATATTCTTGTGCTTGCAAGAGTTAAGGGTTGTGTGGTTGGTCTTTTATTATAGATAAAAAGTTAGAAACTTGGGAGGGGTTTTCATAAATGGAAGAAGCATGTTTTTTAATTGGAAGAGACAGATTTGAAAAAAGAAAAAAATTGACTTTCTTCATAAAACTTCATCCTAAGAACTTACTGAATAAGTCATTTTTTTATATTATTAAGTCGCTATCAAACAATCATATATAATTAACGAAACATGGTATGAATCTAATTAAGCTTATATATGTATATGTATATGTATATGTATATGTATATGTATATATATATGTATATACATACATAATATTTATTAATATAAACCCGTTTTTTATATTCCAGAAAGTTCAATTTTATCATTGTCTCATTGATATCCCAGAGCGTATATGTTTCCTTAAACCGATGGTTTCCACATTTATCAGATTGACTATATTAATTTTAGGGTCTGTTTGGTTTCTATGATTGTTTTTAAGGTATTTGGATTTTATGGAGAGATTTGGGTTGGAATTAATTTGAAATCATTGTTGTGTTTGGTTTGTAGAATTTAGAATGAAATTAGATTCCATTATTTATAAAAAAATTATACAAATAATTAAATTACATTTTTATTAATCGATTATTACAAAACAAATGTTTTAAACATTTTTTAAAACCTTGTTGCATACAATCCTACGAAATCCCATTAAATCCCGAGCACCCCTAAGGATTTCAAAATCCTATGTTTGTAGGATTTCAATTGAATCCTAAGATTTCAATCCATCAAACCAAACATGAGATTGGAATGAATTTGAAATCTAAATCCCCCCAATCCATTTCATTCCCGCCAACCAAACAAGACCTTAAATAATTTTCAAATCAGTTAAATTACAACAAACATATCAATAAATAAGTTCAAGTTCAAAAGAAGAAGTAGTTAATAAGTTTATATACAAAATAAAGATGTTATTTTACAAAATATTGACTAGAAAAAAAAAATAATTTTATGCCTCTTAGCGTGTAGCTAAAGGTTCTCTGTTATGACAACTAGAGATGCACAAAAAGGCTAAGAGATTGTTTTTTTATCTTTTAATAGTTTTATTGAGAGGCAATCTCTGAATCGTTAAGACGTGAATCTTGTTTGGCAAAAAAAAAAAAGTCTGCATCTTAATCCCTCTGAATGATTTTGTATCATGGATCTTCCTTAACCATTAAGAGCCCTAATTTCATTGTACACAATTACCAAACAATTATATTTTATTTTGCATTCTATCATGAGAGCATCTTAATCATTCTAACCACTTAATCATTCTGCATCAAACCATTCAACAATTGTCAAACAGCCCCTGAGCCCAAAACTTGGTTCAGGCTTTGCCTAAGCAAAAAAATCATGTGCCTAGGAAGCACAAAGCCTAGTCTAGACCATGCCTCAAAGCCCAACCACACCGAAATTTTAGGGGCAAGCCAGAGCCTAGGCCCGACTTGAAAATGCATGGCCTGAAGAAAAATACTACCAATCGGACCTTTTTTAGCCTCAAAGCCTACTCAGACCTAAAAAAGACAATCTTTTTTTTACTCACTGAAAACAGGCTTTGAAGGCTCATACCTTATACATCTCTAATGACCAAAAAAATGTGACCACATGTTCCAAATAATTAGACAGGATACTAAATGAGGTCTTTCGAACAACGTTGAGTGTGCCGTTTATTATAAATAAATTGATAGAGAAAATATTGTAATGGTTTAGGCACGTTTGTAGGAGACAATTGTCGACACTGGTGAGAAGAGTGGAGAAATGTGGAACAAACAACTGAAACTAAACAAACTTTAGGTAGTTCCGAAGTCATGACCTCATATTAGAGTTCGTGAAGACGTAAGATCAGAGTAGCAGATTTCGTGCAAAGGCATGTGAGCATTGTGGTAGTAGAAACTGAACATGACGACTTTAGGCATTCTCAAAGACATGGCCTCATATTTGAGTTTGTGAAGACGTAAGACCAGAGTAGCAGAATTTGCCTCAAGTTTTTTTTTCAAAACTTCTTTTCTTGCTTGCGTTAGTTTTAACCTTCACAAAAACCTTTCACAAGCCAAATATTTTCACAAAAATGGAGTCTTTACTCCTTTGGTTAGAGAAAAGGCGACGTACATCTTACTCTCCTCATACCCCACTTCATATCTATTCCTTGGGAATAGATATTACTCACAGTTTGGTTTCTAGATATATATATATAGGAGTGATCAAATGAAAACCACTCCAATTTGTAAAAACCATAAAAACTATTCTCATCCATCGTAATCTTATGAAATTTTTTCATGAAATTGTTTAATCTTGTGATATTGTTTCATATAATACTTTTTTTGATGAAGTTGTTTCATATATGGTTATGAAATTGTTTCATATACTACTTAATGAAATTTTAATGAAACTGTTTCATGTATTTCTCTAAAATTAAAATAATAAAGATGATAATATCCATGATTAACATCCTCCACTATAAAAATGATTAATCAACCTCTTATAATTACAAAACAATGAACAAAATGAAAAATTATGATTGGTGGAATGAAGTTTTTATGGTTTTTACAAATTTAGTGATTTTCATTTGATCGTTCCCCTATATATATATATATATATAACCATTTGCGGTAAGGAAACTATAATTGGTTTCATTACAGTCATTCTAACACTTTTCAAGCATAGCATACATGAAGAGGACATCAATGCAAATATACTACACAAATGCAATGGGACTCGACAAGACGAGAGAGAGGGGTAGGCGGGTAAAAGAATTATGGAAGGCTTTATGATTTTAATTTAATATGGGTAGTTCAGTAATTTACCAATCTTGTATCATCTCCCTCACTTTTATTTCACCTGTTTTGATGAGATAGAAAAAATGCGGCACTTTTGTCTAACCCAGGTCCTGCCAAACTTGGAATAACAAGTTTATGTATTGTTCCTAGTTACCCATCCTCTACCGCATACCAAACACATATTAATAGTCCTATTTCCAGCACACACAAAAAAGGTCATGTCTCGAAAGTCCCCGACTCATATTCAATCGGTTTATTTGTCCTAAATTCAGCATACAGAAATACACATACATCTACAAGATAATTGGCGGCTACATCGAACAAAATAAGAGGCGCATGATACGATCATAATATCAAGAACCCATGGGAAAACTGCAGTCTTTAAACAATAACAATGCCTAGAGAGAGCTACATTCTATGTTTGCATAAGATATAGCAGGTAAACTTGAAAATGAAGAACAATCAACAAAACCTGATGGTTTTCTACTCTTCTTTTATGTTTTAAGTTTTGGAAATTGTCCAAAATAGTCCTTCCGGACCCACCAATTCACTTTATAGCCATTTTTTTGCTCAATTGACCGAAATAGCCAAGATTTAGCAAGTAGCACGTTAGTAACTTGCGAAATCTACTTTTTATGATTTCAATATACAATATTCATAAAGTGGCACTTCATCAAGTTGCTAAAAGTGCTACTTGCTAAATGATGACGTGGAAATGCCACTTACGCAACTTGCTAAAGTGCCACTCGCCACGTCCGCTGTCAACATTTCACAAATGACACTTTTAACAACTTGCTGAAGTGTTACTTTACGAATATTAAGTTCTTAAAAGATAGATTTCGCAAGTTGCTAAATTGATATTTGCAAGATCTCGGCTATTTCGGTCAATTAAGTAGAAAAGCGGCTATAAAGTGAATTGGGTGGGGATCCGAAATGACTATTTTGTACAATTTCCTTTAATTTTCGCACAAGATCAAAATTCCAACAGTCAGCCCAAAAAAAAGCAGGAGAAGAGATACTGAATGATGATGTATGCTTACATGCATATAAAGAATAAAGGTTGGTTAAACAAAAAAGAGTGGGCAACACTTCTTTCTTTGAATAAGCAGAATAAAGGCAAGCTAGTTGCATATACCATCATTAAGATTGCAGAGATACCATATTAGACAAACATCCAAGTGAAGTAACACAAAAGCATATAAAAGCATGGAAAGCAATATCCTATTTGCAGCTTTCTTAAAGGAGCCATCAAAATATTATTCTAAGCCCACCCAGCTAACAATTACTCCCTCTGCGCAAAAATAGTCGTAAGGATAAAGGATACAAAGTTTCAGAAATGTGTAATTATTATACTTTTTAATTAGCTAAATGACAATTTTACCTTTAATAATAGAGGGTGTGATGAATTTCTCCATCTCGTTATCAAGGGTACTTACGTTTTAGAAGTAGCCACTTATTTTGGGACAAACTAAGGAACATGTTCAAATAAGAAAGCTAAGTATTGTGAGAAGGTAAGAAGGGAAGTTTAAAGGAAGATTCATATGTGAATCCATTGGAAAAAGAAAAAAAATCTATTTGAAGATGCATATGTGAATCAAGCGTTACAGACTGTTTATATGGATTCACATATGAACATTTTCTTCTTACCTTCTCACATATTTAGCCTTCTTATTTGAACCTCCCACAACAAACTGATATAAAAATGTCAACACTATTTTGGAATGGAGGGAATATAGGATATTGAATAACAGTAAAACAAGATATATGTGAGAGAAAAGGTTTACTTCTGATTCAAATAGGAACTGAAGCACAAGCTGAAAGCAAAATGTCAACAAAAGCATAAATCTTTTCATAATGTCAATATAGAAAGGCAAAGTAACATAAAGCCACAGCCAAAGGGTATATGATACTGGAATTTATCCACGATACAATCACTAAGAAAAAGAAGTCAATCAAAAAGTTACTCCGTTATTTCTTGGTGTTTTTACCTCCCGCATCACCGCTCCCAGCAGCCTGTGCCGCCTTCTTGGCGGTCTTTTCTTGGAGGGCTTTTGCATCCCTGTATATTCAAATAGTAACATGGGCATCAGCTATAACAATCTACTCCTATTTTCATACTGAAACCTTTCTCATTATTTTGGAAGAGATAAAATCCAAATATGTAAATTAGTATCCTGCAATTTATTATGACAAACTTTGTTCATCTCATCAAAAATTATAACACTGACGTTTTTAGGATGTTCCACGAAAGTGGCAATATTTCTTTTCCTTGTGGCAAGCTTTTAAGGTTGAATCACTTATTGTTACATAGTCATTATTACAACTTATCAATGTTATTCTTTTTAGCCCACTAGCTGCTTTTTTCCTTTGTTACTATTAGGGGGCATTAGAGACTCTGAAAATAGTCAAATACTTAATTAGACCTCTGTATCTGATCAAAGACGTTGCAATTTTTACGGTACATTCTACAGAGGCAACACATCTTAAGATAAAACAAGCTATAAGCTATTTCTGTAAACTGGTTGGTGGGTGATAGTATATTATGTCCACTTCATGACTGCTATAACCTTAAGTCCTTAACCTAAACATTTCAGTATTTGGAAGACTAGTGTCATCAGCACAAGCTTGCAGGCAGACCACTGCCGTCCCATTCTTGTGTAAGCCGAAGTGCAACCACCTTTATCCACTGAACTAGCTAAAAGGCATCATCCTTTCCTTACTGAAACAAGTACAAAACTACAGAAAAGGAACTACTAGTAATCCGTTCAGAAAAAAGGAAATACAGCACTCTGAAGTGAAAAAAACATACTTCAACTTCAAGGTCCTAGCTTCTTTGAATTTACAAGAAACCAGATGAAAAATGGTCCAATTTCTTGCTTTCCCCCTTTGAACAAAAGAAACTGTACAAAGCTTGAACCTGTTTTCCAATAAGAGCTTGAACTCATTTTTCATCAATAAACACCCCATTCCACTTCAACATCTCAAACCCATTTGTTATTCTAATCTGGTTTAATCATAATTAATGTGGGTTCCTAACCATACATGACGAATTGTCATTACAACATGCGTTGGGGTGAAAAGAATAAATTGTTAAGTTTCTATAATTATAATTTATGGAAAAAGAAATGAATTTTGTTTTAACTAAATTTATAAAATAAAATAAAAACCTTTGGGATAGCTCAATTGGTAACACCCTGGTTTGCTCCCAAGAGGTCATTGGTTCAAGCCCCTCAGGACCGCCAGACGGTTTGTTTGGTTATAACTTCATAGCCACATAGGCTTAGTCGAAGTGGGCGCAAACTTACCCGGACACCACGGTTATCAAAACAAAATTATAAATAAAAAGAACTGCATAAAGTAGATGAATGACATTCTTTTTCATAAATTCGTAGAAAGATGTGTTAAATTTCATACCCTTACTTTCTTACATCCAGTCGTTTTGAAGATTTTATATTTCAATGTTGAACTTAAAACCTCTCTAGTTTAGCATCAAATTAACTTATTTGACGCTCAACTTCCTTGTGAATTTACACAACACTAGTTTCCATAATCTAAATCAAAAATATAAATTCATCATAATCAAAGCATTTTGGATGGAAAAGTCAATGGAATTGGGAGGGGGAGGGGTATTCAACCACTTTGTTACTCCTGGATATTTGTCCTTGATGAGGAAAAGTTAAGCTAACTCCAGGGTTTCCTATGGTTCTACCAAAATTAAAATAGAATATTGTCTTCGATTATGACACTGTCATTCTTCAGATCCGAATTAAGAATGCTTAATTCTTATTCCTAGATGGTGGGGGTAATATCAAGAAGACTGCTTGATTGTTTAATATGTTTTTGGTGTATTTAGATAATAGTACTGATTATTCATGCCAAACGACAGATTGATTCTACACAATTTAGCAGCAGGAATCAATTGTTGACTCAATCAAGAGCGATAGATCCCAGCTTTATAGCATCAAGAGCTAAATCTAAATGGAACTATAAATTTTAACCGACAAATCAGTAAATAACTAAATCACTGCAGTATTAACAAGAATTAGCAATAAAAGATCAAACTTCATCAAAAAAACTAGGGCAGAAGTTCAAACCTTTCACGTCGTTGTTCAGGAGTCAATCCATCGTCTTTGGTCTTCCCCTTACCTCCGTTACGAGCATTGGCTCGTTCACGATCCTTCTCCCTCTGGTTACCACGTTCGATCCACCATTAAGGAAATCACACAAGATTCACATGCGTATTACACACGAAATCAATTGCAGATTGAAATCGAAAAACAAAAAACGTAAAAATTATCATTAGATTGCATCAGATCGAATAGGAAATCGATATAGAAACACAACAAACGAACAATCACATTCAAAACCCCTTGAAAGGATATGAGTCATATCGTCGATCAGGAAATCCGGTATTGATTTGTGTGTCGTATTGAAGTGGAAATCCGGGTTGAAAAAGGGGGTTGACCATCTTTTATGCTTATGTTTTGAGTAAATTTACAGTTAGCCCCCCAGACATTTGTGTTTAACAGATTCAGTCCTTGGATTTAGCTAAGCCATTTTAATGAGTCCAAAACCGTTGTATTTCTTAAGATTTGGTTTCAACGTGTCATAAGTTTGATACAAATGAAAGACCCGTAATTATTTCTATCATATGAAGATGTTACAAATAGAGATACATAAGGCTTGGGCTTTTTCGGGTTTAGGCCTGAGCATTCCGCTCTGTTTTCAATGAGCAAAACAACCCGGGCTCTTTTGGGCCTGGGTCGAGTAAGGTCGGGTTTTGGGGTTGAAAATGGGTCTTATCAACTTTTCTAGACTTAGCCAAGGTTTTTTAGGTCGTACCTCATCAACTGCCTACAATTTCGGCCTGATCGGGCTTTGAGGTCTGGCCGGACCGGCCTTCAGACTTACTAAGCCTAAGTTTTATTTGGATCATGTTTGGTCCAAACTTAGGGTTTGGACTCTTTTGTGCATATCTAGTTACAAATTTGAATTGATATTTATGATTGTAATACAATGTTCTTTTAATTGTTATCTGAATTGATTTAATTTTGTTTCAGAGTCTGTATAATCATTTTACAGTACAACAGAAAAGGAAATTAAAAATTAGAACACCAGCGTCAATTACCATAACACTTCCAAGAGTAAACAAGTACCTATTTGCTTCGTTCATTAGACTCATTTTGACCAAACTAACCCATATGTTAAAACCTGTTCCAAAATTATGTTTATTCTATTTCAAAATGCCAAAATCAACACTCTTTTCTCCTTTCTCATTCTCATTCTCATGAAATTGACTTCCAAAACCTCCATAAATTTCTCCTTCATATTGCTATCGATTTTTTGTATTAAACCTGGATATCCAACTCGCTATGTGAGTCGACTAATCTCAGGGCGACCACCTGTTTTGCAGATAGCCCAGAGTCACCGCATTTGAACCTCCGTGGTCACAAATGAATTTTTATTCCTCCTTGGATTTGAACTTGCTACCGAAATTTACCTGCAACACCAAAACACAACTATCCCACCACCTATAACTGCAACATCCCAACCACTATACTAAATGGCAAAGTTTTCGACATATGATTCCATAAGGTGGTCATACCGTATTCACACAAACAAAATGAGGGACAATCAAAATGCACCACAAATGGAAGTCATCCAATTAATCGAAAAGGAATTTAACACAACAAGAACTTAACCTACTTATACTTCAAGACACACAAGATGAGATTATATGCTAGATCACCATATTCCAGTATGACTGTATTTATATTCATCACTGATGATGCATCTAGGGTTGGACATACAGTAATCAGATTTAATTAGGATTGACCAATTCAAATAAGAACTGATCAAAATTGGATGTCCGATTGTAACCAGATCGAATCATTTCCAAAAGTTCAACATCAAAATTGGAACAATTGATTCTTGAAAGGTAATTTAGAATCCAATAAAACCAAACAAATATAATCTAATTATCATTGACTTAATAAATAAATATTTTACAATGTTTTTTTAATATTATAAATTTGGATATTGTTATAAGAAATGAAAACTTAAAATAGCAAATAACAAAAACCTTAACAGCAAAAACTCAAAATCAAAAGTTCGTACACCCTCATTTTAAACCACAAGGGTAGTACCTGATTGGTTTGAGCTTGCTCCAAATGTCAAAAGTGTTTGAAAGTCCTAGATTCAAATTCAATAAGAAAAAAATCCCTTGTGGCCATGGAGCCATGGAGGTTCAAATGCGGTGACTCTAGACTATCTGCAAAATAGGTGGTGGATTCTATCGCTACTAATCTCCCCCCTCCCCTCCCCTCCCCTCCCCCTTCCCAGGAATAGGTTGGCTTTCTTTCATTTTGGTTATGGAAAGTGAAAGTTCTTTCGTTGAATAGGTCTTCCCCCTTCGATCAGTGAAGTAGGCAAGTAGGAATCTCTGCCCTGCGATTAATTGGCTCGCATAACGGGTTGGATATTCAGATTAAAAAATATATAATTGATTTAATCATCTCTTGGGTTAAATTAGATTTGTTGTCATATCCATTATTTAATTGATGATTGGATTTAATCAATTCCGCTTAAGAGCATCTCCAACAGATTTTTCAAAAGTTCTCTAAAATAGAATAAGAGTTCAAAATCTCTAAAAAAATTGCATTCAAGTCCAACAGGTTATCTATTTTTGGAGAGTGCATCATTAATTATATTATTAAAATATTCCATATATTTAATAAAACATTATTTCTCTCTGCTAAACTGTTCACCTCAATATTTCTTATTAGTGGCATATGATAAAAATCAGTTCTTCTCACAATAATTATTTGTGTACAGTTCTCCAAATTTGGAGAAATTTACACATTTTCTCCCACTTTCTTCATTTTGAAGAAAGTTCTGTGGAATCTGTTTGATCAAAAAATTGTTCAAAATCTCTATCTTCTTTATTTTGAAGCATCTGTTGAAGACGCTCTAAAATCAATTGGATTTTAAACCCTTAAAGTCCATCAAAAAATGGCCCAAGGATGGAAAATTTATATCTATCTACTGTAAAATATGACAGCATTCGACATAATTTTTTTTTTCAAGCAATGTTTTTGTAAGTACCCGACGTATAACTTTTCCGATCCTTCACAAGATGCTTAGCGTTAGTCCTACAAAGTCGTTGGAAATTTACGTATTCAACGTTGTAAGTATTCTGCAGGGCCTCTGGAATTAGTGAAGGTGTGCAAACTGATCCGAACAACCATGACTAACAAAAAAAATGCATAGTTTTCGTACTCAACGTTGATTTATGTATTCATATTCTTCACAAGTGCATGCATTTTATAGCTTTTGTACTCAACGTTGGTTACGTATTCGTGTTCTTCACAGATATATGCATTTTTTTTGCCATAACAATTTATCAACGTACGAATTGGCTTCCAAATTCATTTTATTTTGTAAAAACTGATTTCGTTATGAAACTAGCATCCAAAACATCTCAGATTAGCATTGTCATGTTTCATGCACATAATCATGTCACATGTAATCAACCATACGTTATAACATGAACTACCAACTAAGATTAGAACATGTTACTTGTGTTTCCCATCTAATTCCTCTATAAATTCTTTCGTAAATTTCAAGTATGATTTGTCATTGTTCGATGTGTGTTCGTTGCTTGGATCAACGACATTATTGATTACATCAGGGTTTAACCTTCTGATTACAAATAATTAGCATATAATCCATATCGTATCAGACCACACAGTTTAGAACTTTCACTGTACTGGTTGCAGTTCGTTTTATTTATACTGCATTATTTGCGGATCAAAACGAACCGAACTACATATAAATTTTTATTATTCATTAATGAAAATTTGTTTGTTAGTAATTCAATTAGCTTAATGAGATTCACATCTTATTCAGTCATCTATATATGACTGTAATGGCTTAATGATATAGAAAGTGACTTATTCGGTTAGCTTCTAGAGACAAGCTTTATGCAAAAACATATTTTTTTTTTCAAACTTATCTCTCCCAATTAAAAAGTACGCCACTTCTAACTAAGAAAAAACCATCCCAAACAAAAACATCTCAATCTATACAGACAGATTAATCTACATAGACAACTTTATTCATACATGATTTAATGAAAAACCAGCTAAACAGTCTCTTAGTTGTTCGTTTTGATGCTTTTTTGTTTGTCTTAGAATTATTCTAAACGTTTGATTAAAACTTGTTACGCACTTGGAGTCAATTGTGTTGTGTAGCATCATTTTCCACTTTGTATTTTATGGAGCATGGACTATGAAATTATGTATTTTGTAAAATAATATTAAATATTATTCACTTTAAACATCATCATATTTAGGTACAATATGCATAAACTACACCGCATCATTGAAATTTGAATTACGGTATTTTACAGGTTTAGATATGTTCGATCTGATTTGTGGTTTAAAAAAAATGCTCAAACTATATTTATATAGTTTAAATTATAGTTTTGGACTAATGAGCCGTTTACCAAACACTTACACGTAAAATTTAACACTATCATTTACTTACCGGGTAAGATTTTAGTCCACCAAAACGGTATCGTATGCAACGATGTACCCGATAAGCGCTTACAATGGTAAGAGTCGTCACCCTCACTTACCGGGTAAGATTCTTGGTCCTTGTCTCGCTCTTATTGGGTAAGATTATTGGTCCTTACCTTACCATATTCATCCGATAAGATAATGTGACTTGGTGTTCATTTACCCGAGTAAACGTTTAGTAAACAGTCCACAAAACTAGACATCGCAAACACCTATTAGATGGTATACCACCTCATTTGGAGGGACATGAGGACAAATTATTGTCTCATATTATATACTAAAAACCTTCACCAAGCAATTCAAATCAATTTGCATCAATCATCAAAATGCAGGGGATGAGGTGGGGGAGATGAAGACCTCATGTATTATATATATATATATGCTTTTTTGTGTGTATGCATATATGGGTATATATGCACTAAAAAGTGAAGAGTATAGTGAGAGAAAATTCTCTCGTTGATCCATTGTAAAGGGGTCTTTCGTCGTTGATCATTCGCTGATTGTCTGTTGATCAAAAGCTCGTAGGTAATGCTATCACCGATGGATCAACGATGGAATTGACCCAATTCCCTCGCTGATCCCTCGTTGGTCGGCGAGAGAACTGGTTTTTGCCAATTCGAGAGATCAATGAGAGATTTTTTTTCATCGTTAATTTTCCGTTGTTGATACTTTGTTTTCTATTAGTGATGTTGTGCATGTGAATATATATGTATATATATAGAGTATATATATATATATATATATATGTGTGTGTGTGTGTGTGTGTGTGTGTGTTGGGGGGGGGGGGGTTAATTGTTTGTGTGTATATAATAATAAAAGAGATGAAAAAGAGGAAGAGGTGGGGTTAGGGTGTTAGATTACATTCTTGGTCCTTTAGTTTTAATAGGAAACAGAAGGAAAAAAAAAACTAAAATACCCTTAGAGTTAATTTATTTAACATATTCTTTTACCGGTGTTAGAGTAGAGATCAAAAACATGTGAAAACGTAAACTACAGACATTTTCCATAATTATTTTGATTTATGGACGCATAATTTTGTATAAACCATAGGATTAATCATGCAATTTATCGAAAACTTGATTATTGTCTTTATAACAAAACATCAAAAAAAAAAAAAAGTCTAAAATCATTTTTTTAAAGTCATAATATATATTTTTAATTATATCAAACTCAAACACACACACACACATATATATATATATATATATAAATGAAAATTATTAGACTTTCAAAAACTGTTATATAAACAATTCAATTTTATTGAAACCTTTTATAAAAAAAACCATTTAATTTTCTCACGCCATGTAATATTCTTTTTATCAAATTTACGCAGATTAATTAATTCTAAAAAATCAACAACTTTAGTAACTATTTTCAGATAAAAAATAAAACAAAATATTGATATTTTTCACAATTTAGTAAGGATAAATTATATGAAAAAGTAACGTACTTTATCTTGATTCATATTTTAGATAACGTATTATTAGAACTTTCATTTTGGTACATAAGATGTAATGTTTTAAACATTTAAATATCCGGGTAACCAGTTGAATACTAATTTTAGATTAAAAAAATGTATATCACTAACCACGTCAACAAATAATACTGAGTTGCATACCACATCACTTGCCACATTAACATGATAGCATGTTAATGCTTCAATCGGTTACCCGGGTACTTAAAGCCTTAAGGGTATGTTTGGTGTCCAGACAAGACAGGACATGACAGAACATGACAAGACAAGATAGAACAATTGTTCAACGTTTGGTAAGATAAAACTAGACAGAACGGAACAAGTAGAATGACCAATTTACCCCTAAGAGTTGTTTATTTTGATTAATTTATGTAATTTATTAAATTATAATAGAATAATTATTTTTTATAACAAAATATATCATTCGAAAGTTTTCGTCAAAACAATTAAATAACACCAAATGAAAAATTTATGTAGTTTCCAATTTTTATTTTTATCTCTCTTCTACATTATTTATTATTATTAATATACTAGAAAGGTTTTCGCGCAATGCACCGAGATACATCTTGATTTTAATATTTTATTTTATTATTTATCTCAGTTGATGTTATAGTATGCTTTTATGTGATTTTAAAAAAACGACGATGTTTTTATTTTTTGAATAAAATATAAATTTGAAGATATCATGAAAATTTGACAAAAATATATCGATATTAGTATCAAATTAACTATTTCAAATTCATATTTTTTGTGTAATTTTTTATTCAGTTTTTTAATTATAATTTAATTTATGTTCAATAACGAAGTAATTTATTTTTAGTTTAATAATATAATTTTCTTATAAAGATAATAATCAATTATTTTGTTAGAACTCGATAATTATCATAATTATTTTATGTAATTTCTTTAATTTATTTTTTTATATTATTAAACCAAAAATAAATTATTTCGTTATTAAATTTAAATTAAATTATAATAAAAAATAAATTAAAGAAATTACAAAAAAATAAGAACTTTTAAATAGTTAATTTGATATTAACATTGATTTTTTTTTCAAATTTTTATGATATATTCAAATTCATATATTATTAAAAAAAAATTATTATTGTTTTTTTTAAAATACATAAAATTGTATTATAACATCGACAGAGACAAATAGAACATTAAAATCGAGATGTGTCTCGCTGCATTGCGCGAGTACTCTTCTAGTTATCTATAAAGCATATGGTCGTCATGAGATTAGTCGGCTCGCATAGCGGGTTGGATATCCAGGTTAATAAAAAAAACTCCTTATGTAAATTTGCATAAAGATTTTTTTAATTTATTTTTTTTTCAATTTTTTTACGTAATTATATAAAATATTTACGTAAATTCTATTAAATTAAAAATTCAATTTAAAAAAAATAAAAAGTAAATTTGGTATAGAAATTCACTATTTGATCTATTTTGAAACAAATAGAGATTCTCTCACAAAAGTCCCTCCCATTCCCCCGTCCCACCACCCCTGGCTCTATAGCTTTACCAGCACACACAAGTGTGGGTGTTGTCTTGCTTTACCTCATAATTTTTTCAAATGGAGATATTGTACCAGGCAACGGCAGTGGTGGTATTGGTGGTTCTCTACGGCCGGATCACGGCGGCGACGTGGTGCGTAGTGAGAAGCGAAGCTTCAAGGGAGGAATTACAGGCGGCACTCGACTACGCCTGTGGTGCCGGAGCCGATTGCGCACCGATACAGCAATCAGGTCTGTGTTTTCTTCCAAACACCATACAAGCACACGCTTCTTACGCCTTCAACAGCTATTATATGCGTAAATCCATGGCTCCTGGCTCCTGTGATTTCGCCGGCACCGCCACCGTCGCCAAAACCGATCCGAGTTAGTGCAATTTTTACCAGTTTCTCCACTATTTCTTCCCTATAACTATCTATCTCACACAGGAAATCAAACAATGTTGCTTTGAAATTTAATTGATTTTTGGTTGTTTTCATGTTCTAAAGGTTATGGATCCTGCGTTTATCCAGCTTCTCCAAGGTAAATCTCGTTTCATTTCCGTACAACAGAAGTTTCTGGATTTCGTTGTTCATGGCTTTCAAAATATTTAATTTAATAATATATATTTTGATAAAAGTATTTATTTATAAATTTATACACAGTTAAAAAAATTATCGCATTTCGTACGATAGAAGTTTCTAGATATCGTTGTTCATGATTTCAAAATAAATTCAATTTTTAGTTTTCTAGGGTTGGGTTCATGAGAGCAACATGTTTTCGTAAGATCCGTAAGATCATTTTTTTATAGTTGAAATTTCATAGCAAAATTTGTGAAGGTAAAAAAGAAAACCGAACATTTACAGCAAAAACACTTTTGCTTTGAAGTTTTAAATGTAACAAAATAATTTCATGGGTCTCACAAAAACAGATTGGTCTTACGTAACTTCCTATATATATATATATATATATATATATATATATATATTGATGGATTTTTAAGTTTTTCCGGTGTTTTATGGGTTTTTTTTTTTGTTTTTTTTGCTTGATTTCAAATGAATTTTTGGTTAATGTTCCGTGTATTATAAGATCCTGGAATACCGCTTAAAGTTTAGAGGTGCATTGCGTTGTGTTCTCGAGCCCTTTTTTCTACAAAAGGAAGGAAAGTAAGAGTAAAAGGAAAAAGTTTGTGTTCTCGAGTTTCTTTAAGCAAAGAAATGAAAGAAAAGCGAAAGAAAATAATTTTGATTTTAATGTGGGAGAAAAGTGGATGAAAAAATTTAATTCTTTTATAAAATTATATATACTCAATCAATTATATTTATATTAAGTTATAATAAAAATTGAATTTATAAAAATTAATCTACATTTCACTAAAAAAATTTATAAAAATTAATTTTTTTATAAAGAAAATTATATTATTAACACAAAAAAAAAATGATTTTACTATTAAATCTATAAATTAAAGAAATCATAGAAAAACAAGGATTTTTAAATATTTAATTTGATACTAAAATCACTACACTTTTAAAAAAAATGTGATACATATAAATTTATATTTTATTTAAAAAATAAAAATATTATTGTTTTTCAGTACCACAAAAAATCTTATCATGACATCGATGGAGATATAATAAAATGAAACATTAAACTCGAGATGTATCTTGCTGTATTGTACAAGTATTCTTCTAGTCAATGCTAATGCATTAGATTATACTACTTTATTTAAAAGATATAATTTTTAATTAACAAATTAAAACACCCTTTAAGTTAATGAAAAAACTTATGAATATGATCAAAAACAACTAATTCAAGCAATGATAAGTAATTTCACACGATGAAATAACGTGACAAAAATCCAGGCATTATTTCTGCAAAAAAGTATATTAAATTTTAAAATTTAAACGGAAAATAATATCATTTTGAAACTCAAAAGGAATCAGTTTAAATCAGGGTTTTTTTTTTCTTTGCTATAATTAATACTTATTTTTTTCATTTTAATATATACAATACAATTACTTTTTGTTTTTAATAATATATGTAGCGAACAAATCAGATAAGAACCATAAAAAAATTATAAATATGTGAGAATTCATTTAAAATTAATTTTGTATGAAGATTTTTCATCAAATACTATAATTTAATATAGTAAATATATATATATATATATATATATATATATATATATTTGTTTCATAATGTGATAGTTTCGTATGTATTTGTTTCATTGTGTGAAACTTTTTTATATGTATTTTTCATTTCAGTAAGTGAACAACGATATTATATTTAATTTTTTAAAAGATGAACACAAATATATGTTAAATGATATTTTAAATTGAAGTTTTTGATTGAAAAATTATGATATTTTTACTAGTTTTTAACATTTCTATGGTTTTCGTATGATTGTCGTGTGTGTGTATATATACATACGGTTTGGTTCACGTAAGACAAGTTTGTTTTCGTAAGACATGTGAGACATGATTTTTACACTTGAAACTTCACAACAAAATCATGTGAAGATAAAAAACCCGAATATTCACAGCAAAAGCACTGTGAAGGTAATTTGTTGTGAAATTTCAACTATAAAATCATGTCTCACATGTCAAGCGAAAAGAATATTGTCTCACATGATTCCAAGTCTCTCTCTCTTTCTNTCCCTCCCTCTCTATATGTATATATGTATGTATAACTTGATATATTAAGAATTGGGTTCACGTGAGACCATCATGTTTTTGTGAGACGCGTGAGGTAACATTTTTACACGTGAAATTTCACAACAAAAAAACTATGAATGTAAAAAGAATCCGAACTTTCATAACAAAAAAACTGTGAAGGTTATTTTCATAATGTTTGCTATGAAATTTTAAGTGTAAAAATATTATCTCACATGATCCATGTCATATATAAATATATGCAAGTAGAATATAATAAAATAAAATAAAATAAATTTATGGAGAAATGTGGTATAAAACATTTTTTAGAAATAACTTTTTAAAAGTATAATTATTATTTTGATTGTTATATTTCTTTTACTTTTCCATAAAAAGATGATAACGGTTGGGGAATAGTTGGGAGGAATGATGACGATTGGGTCCCAAATGGGCCCCACGCCATCCTGTTACCAGTCAAACCATTGGCTTCTTTGCTTTTGAATGAATATGTCTTCAATTATTTTCGGCTCATGATTTTTGTTAATTGTTGAATAATTTGATGGAGAATGATTAAGTGGTCAGAATAATTAATAGGTTCTCATGATATAATGTAAAATGAAATATAATTGTTTGTTAATTGTTTATAATAAAATTAGGGCACTGAATTATTAAGGGATGTCTAAGATACAAAATCGTTTAGAAGGTTTTAAAATCATTAAGAGGTAGACTTTTTTTCTACCAAACAAAATTTATCTCTTAATAATTTAGAGACTGCCTCTTATTGAGACTAGTAAGAGATAAATAAACAACCCCTTAAAACAAGTATTTCGTTTGTCGGGAAATGGATTCATTGTATTATATAAAATAAAATACTGTTTTTTTGTTTTTATTTATTATTATTTAATATCTTTAATCAAACACATCTCAAAAAATATTTTCATTTGATAATTATATTTTATATAAAAATATAGCATTGATTCCACCAAAACATAAAAAAATATCAAAATAGATGTTGGTAAAAAAAATTATTTTTTTTTAATTTTTTTTAAAGTATATAATATTTATATACGATAAATAGAATAAATAAATTCACACATTCTTCTCACTTTTGGTGAAGTTTGAACCCCTCATCTGTTAGGAGGCCAAAAACTCATATACCGCTAGCCTTTGATAAATTATATTTATTTTTGTATAATCTGACGAAGAGTTGTAACGGGAAAAACAGATACTTTTTGCAAAGAAACTAACATTATATTGATGATGTTTGTATATTGTTAGCACTGCCGGAGGTACACCTACACCTCGAGGAGGAGCAACAACAACATTCAGTACTCCGATTACAGACGTGACACCTCCACCCCCAGCCACCACCATGCCGTTCTATGGGAGCGGTGGTGGTGGGCTAAATCCGATTGGCATGGTACCAACATTCGACGCATCGTCAAAGGCTAATGCTTTGATAAAGTTCTATGATTCAAGACTATGTTTTCTACACATGTTATTTTTGGTATTCGACTTATGGATGTTTTTGTAGCGTAATTTGTTACGTTTAGGACAATTTTGTTGGACGTTATGCAATTGTATTTTCTGGTATCGTCTTTCTATAGTACTCGTTAATTTGTACTGATCTTGTTGACCTGTTTGACCTTTGTTGCAAATCAAATGAATTTGATTCTATTGATTGATCTTATAAACTTTGATTCGTTCCAAAAGTTGTAGTGGCCATCTATCTTGAATAGTCATTAAGCGATTAATGATTCTTATTATATATATATATATATATATATATATATATATATATATATATATATTAGAATGGTACTCGCTCAATGTAGTGTAATACATTTCTTATATCTTGATTTTAATGTTTCGTTTTATCTTTGTTAATATGATAACACGGTTTTATGTGTTTTGATAAAGCGATAATGTTTTTATGTTTGAATAAAATATAAATTTGAATATCTCATAAAATTTTGAAAAAATATATCGATATTAGTATCAAATTAACTATTTTTTGTGTAGTTTCTTTAATTCAATTTTTTATGATAATTTAATTTAGATTTAATAACAAAGTAATTTATTTTCAGTTT